TGCTGAGCAATCTAATCCGAGTTTGGAAAAATTTGTGACTGGTCCTGCTTTAGGTACACACAAGCCACAGAGTCCAGGAGAGAAATTTGTTAGTGTTGAAACTCTTAGCGTGTCTTTACTGGAGGGTTGGAAAGGTAATTTTCTGAATGATCAAAATTCTGCCTCCTGTTATATGAACATGTATGTCCAAACAGGTACAGAATACTTTCTCTGTGTGCTGAACACAGCTGTCAGTGTAGCCACAGTGCTTTATTTTCAGTGACATGTCTTAGATTTTCTGCCTAAATTGCAAGTGCTTCCCCTTTAGAGAATATTCTACCAAAAGGGGGGATGTTTATTTCATACTGAAGCTAAAATAGTAGATTTGAAAAGCACTGCAGTTAAAAAAAAATAAATTAAAAAATCCCTATAGATGATTATTCTAATAAGCTTGTTTCTCATCTGTACTGTTGAACTCTTTTCTTGCTGGCATTTTTGAATGAAGAGCAAATGTGATGCAGTAAAGTGTAACTAAAGCCCCTAAAATCAGAACTTCAGAGTAAATGGATGGCTGTTCTGCTACTGAAGGCAAAAACTCCACCATCACATAAAAATAGTCTGATCAGTGATCACTACAGTAACAAATAAGTAAATTCAATAAAATTTTATAAAGTCCCAAGTGTAATAAAAAAGCAATGAACAAAAAATTGGAAGCTTTTATCTTCACAAACCTTTGATCCACAGTGTGAAGGAAACAGATTTGATTATTAAGGTATTTTGAAATTGGACGTGGCTTGATTCCCACACTGAGTAGCAGATGTGGGAGAGCAAGGGAGCAGAGCCATGGCTTACTCTGTGCCAAGAGCAGAGTCAGGCTTACAGAGCAAACACAAAAAGGTTTTGGGTTTAGAGACTTGGATTTGGGAAATCTAGCTGTGTATAATTCCTAATATTTTTTTAATATCCCCAGATATCATTATATATCTATACTTAGCTTCAAGTTCCATGTTAGCTTATGATGCAACATGTTTTGTATATCTTTGACCTTCTTTCTTATGGGTTGGAGGGTCATTCAAACAGAATCACTAATGGAAGGTGCACAGGTCTTGAAGATTTGCTAGTCACTTCTAAACCTTCTCACAAAAAGGAACCAAACTCAGAAAACAGTTCTAGTCAGGTAAGAATGTGATTCCCATCACATAAAGGAGACTTCATCATCTGTTACTTGGGAGAGTAACTGCACTTCAAAAAGGCTTGTCTTGAGCTAATATAAGGAAATGCAAGAGCAGATGCATAAGGAGGAGGCAGAACCAAATGTCCTCAGAAAAGTGATCTAGTTCCAAAGAATGTTTCAGAACAGAGAAAGAAAGAAAAAAAAAAAAAAAAAAAAAAAAGGAGAAAAGGTTAGAAATGCCATAACTCTCTAAAATGCTCTGCAAAGTTTATATGTTTAAGTATAAACTGTTCCTCATAGGCACTCTGGTGTATGTATGTAGCCTAGCTCATAAGCTGCAACTGTGGAGAAAAGATGGTTTGTTACAGTACTGTCAGTGGCACTGGTGTGGTGTCTGATGACTCCTGGAAGTTTGGGCTATGAAGCTCCTTCCATATTGCACACTTCAGACACCCACAGCTGCCAAGGACCGCCTACTCTTGGGAACTGCTTTGAGCAAAGAAAGTTTGAGGGGGTTCTGCTGATCTCTTGTCTGCAATGGAATAGGAGTTGCCAGTATTTGGTGGCTGCTAGGTCATGCTGTAGCAATTGTGTTGGTTTGGACACATGCATTCCCCACAGAGTTGCCTTCAGGGCTAGGATGCTAGGATCTGCCCTCACGGATTCAGGACTTCTAATTACTAGTATGGAAAAAACTACCTGCAAAAGACTTGATCTGTTTTCTGTGGTTTAATGTTGTAATTTTGGTATCAAAATGAGTGTCAAATGTTTATTTCAAACATACAGTTTTTATAAGCACTATGCTAGTAAGATACATAAGTACCACTAAGATTTTACTGATTTGTCAGCTGCCACTCTGCCTCTTTATTTTGCATTTGTAATGATGTAACCTATTCTATCCCCACTTGCAGTTCCTATAACACAGTACAACAGCCAGAATTTCCAAGAATGTATTTTGAAAGAAAAAAAAGAAAAAAAATTCTAGGGCTTGACTACAGTTGTAGTGCTCAGCCAGCCCTAAACAGGATTTACAATGCCTGAAGACACTGCTGATGTGATATGTGTATTGAGGTTTGATTAAGCTGGATATGAAAATTAAAACTTGGCTTCACATTGAAGAGAGAATCTCCCGCAGTGTAATACTATGACACTGAGTTTTCTGTTTACCCCTAAGGCTGGTGGTACAATGACTTCCAGGTTTGATGGTGTCTCTGTTTTAAGTTGTTGAGCAGCAGGCTAATAGCTGCACAGCATGATGCAAAGACAGCAGAAAGCAGGGAAATCAGATGTGAATATATTCCCCAGAGATCTCCTGCTAAGATAGAGCTTTAGTGCTCAGATGCAGTGTTCTCATGCAGAAGATGGGCTGATTATCAGGTCTTCCTGCTTTATTGTAGATTTTTGGATTACAGATGCCATTACAAATAATGAATTCTGGTATAATACACATGCTAATGTAATTTGAATTATTACATTGAAAGAAACTTTATTTTAAAAGTTTTAATCCAAGATCAGTCCATTCCCTCCCCATTGTTGAAAATGATCTAGGTATTTAAAAAAATACAGGTTTATATACTACTTCTGTGTTTGCTTTGCCTTAACTGTTTGAAAGCCATAGCTTTAGTTTATTTCATTGTGACAAAGACTGACCTAAGAAAAGGACAGGATCTACTGGCAAAACAGTAGCCCACCTTGCTGTTTATACAAACATATTGTCTATGTTGCACAACAGGAGTAGCCTTTGCTGCTGAGCAGCCAATTCATTATTGCCATAGTGGCAGCCTCAGTTGCCACAAGGTACAGAGAGCAGGGGAAGCACATCATCCCTCTTACCTCATATGCTATTGGTGACATATCTGGTCTATCAAGTGAAAAGGAACTGCCAATCCATTTTCTTGTTTGTGTGCAGGGAAGATATACTCAGGCACAAGTTAATCAGTTTAATGTTACCTAGTAGCTGCTTCCCAGCTCTTGGCTTTGTGTCATCACTGAGCCATTCATTTCTTCAAAATGTGAGACAGTTTAGGGTGCATTGGTAACAGGAAGAGCTTGCTGCAGTTCCCAAAAAATACCTAGTGAGAACATCTCATGTTTTGTCAGAATATCAATGGCCAAATCTGGCAATCTTTAGTGGCATAAGGTGGTCGTGTGGTTTCAGTGAGTAGGAGGAAGACTGACACAGTTATTGATTGTTAAGTTTCTATAGTGTTATTTTCCATTTATCATCCTGTTTGTTTAGCTCTGCTTTCTATACAGATAAGAGAGAAAAAGTTAAGAAGTTGAAATTTATGTTACAAAAGTCAAATTCTGAAGCTTTGGTTTAATCCCAAAAATGAGAAGCATTATTCCCATCATCTGTAAACTTAATAAAGTAGTACTTAAGAGCTCATACACTTTATACCAAGCACCCAAGCAGTCCATGTAGAAGAATGATTAAAAGAGTAAACTCCAAGTTAAATAGCACACAGGTTAAACCACAAATCATTTGTCACTGACCTTAAAGGTTTGGCCTAGCGTGCCCTTTATCAATTTGGAAGGGAGCCAGAAGGGAGTGCAAAGGCTCAGCCTTGAGCTTCCTTTTGGGTCACACGTATTTGGACAGGTTTGACAGCAGCACTTAACAAGGCCATCCCTCTGGCACCTCTTTGCAGAGCACTTCACACCTTGCAATGATGAGAATCAGTTTGTCTCAAACATAATAAAATAAATAGTTGCCCTATCAGCTTTTATAACTTGGAGAGGAATTATGTTTACAGCTATTACCATTTTCAGGGAATGCGAAGATTTTTGCATAGGATTCAGACTTTCAAATAGCCTTCAAGGTTGCACTGTAAGCTCTCCCCTAGAGGGACAAGAACAATCTTCTCTGGACTCTGCAGGAGCAGTAAGTAAAAATTACCTCATACAATGGCATGCAGATGCTATCAATCCACTCAAGCTGCAACCTGGGTAGTTCGTCTTTCCTGTTCCGATCAAAAATGGCCTGAATTGAGAAGGGAACAAAACTGTCATGCTTTAGTACACTGGAATATTTTACAGACACATCATGTAGCACTTTGGAGCTATGATCAAATTTTTACAGCAGAACAGTTTGTAAACCATAATCGATCTTTGCAGCACTCTTCTTACTGATTTGTCTGGCATGAAAAATCAACTGTTTATTTTCAATTCTGTTTTTAAATTTTTAGGTTGAATGTATTTGAATTTTATATTTCTGTGATGTAAAATAAATGCTCCACAGATGGAGTCAAACTGATAAGAAACCTCCTGTAGAAGTGCAAAGTAGATACCTTTGAGTAGAAATTTCCCAGTTCTCACACAGGGTTTTCCGGCTCAGCAAAATGAACAGCAGTGGATCTGGGCTGGCTTCCTCCCTCCCAGTTACAGACCCTGTCTGCAGAACCAGCCATGTCTGTGAATCCAAAGGGTGGGGATCAACAGATCCATTTTGGGAGTAGGTACAAATTTGTTCAGTAACGGGAAACAGCCTAATTCACTGCTCACTGCACTCCCTCTGAGAGGAAATTATAGAGGTTGAAGCTGATGTTTAAGAGGCTCAAAGGCTGAAAGGAGGTGGAAGAAAGTGAGTTCTGGAAAGTTTGAACATGAGTTGACTTTTCTCCATACTCTGCCTGAGATTACTTGGGTCCATCAGCTTTCCATCTACAGGATAAGAAAGCTTTGGCTTTTGTCTTTTCTTTGCACTCCTACAAAGTCTACAGTACATCCAAACCATGTAATTACACACCTTAAAATAATTGCTTTTCATTTACTGTGAGTATTTTAACTTTATTGACTTCATTACATCACCACCAGGTCACGTGAAATATTATCAAAGTGAGAACAAGTCTGAGCCACTGGAATGGTCTTTTTATTTTGGAAGCATAAACATATTTGTGAATGGCCTCTAAGTTAAATTCTTCAGAATACTTTCTGTTACCCTTCTCCCATTGCCTTCAGATAGTGGCTTGTTAACATTTTGAATTATTTAACCTGGATAAGGCTTTCTCTTCAAATCAGTCACTGAAAATCTTGAAACTTTTTCTCTTAGTTCTTGTTTGACACTTTATACCCATCTGCCTATACTCCACTCAATACCAATTTATCCTCTCAATTACACTGTTATATTTAGTTGTATACCTACAGAAAAGCTTTTCAGCATTTGAATAACACTGGTAAGGCAGCTGTAGCATGAAGTAAATATGATTATTTTTTATTTCCATAAGTAGCTAGTGATTTTTTAATTTGAATACTGTATGATAAAACAATACCTGTTGCTTACAAAATTAATGACAGAATAACTTTGAGAAAAACTACAGAAAATGGGCAAAAGAGCTCCACACAAAAGTGACTGAGCTGACTAGAGAGCTTTTATACTTGGCTCTAAATGCATGTCCTTATTGGACAAAGATTTTATTTATTCCAATATATCTATCTACAGACAAACACAGTTACTTTTTTTCTGAATGAACCCAATTATATTTTCTTACCCTATTCAAATTAGTAACTATTTCAGAAAGTGATAAAAACTTACTGAAGGAGTGAGTTTGAGTTCCAATCTTTCTCTGTCTCCTTGTTCAAAGAACTCACTGGTCACCAGCTCAGCTGCCTACAACATAAATAATGACAAAAATTAAGAGTTCTTGCTACATAATTTTTAAGGCAATGAGTTCTTGCTCAGACCATTACATCAGCCTGTGTTTAACTGTAAAGAAGTGAATAACCACATTTACATGACTGATGTCAGGCACACGTTTGTATAGTTTTCAGAACTGGGGATACAGGAGGTATAAACACCCATAACTGCTCATATGCACACTTGGCCCTTTTTGATAGGGAATTTTGTCCGGGGGAATTGCACTGCAGTATCAAGGTAGCACTTAATGCAGTCACAGGCAACTCACTCAAGTACTGAGAATAAAATGGAAAAGTATAGCTTCTTGTTGGCATCCACAGTAATGTCTGTAAAAATGCTTTGTAAAGTGTGCAAGAGCTCTCTGGATATTTACAGGCTGTTGCCCTGTATAAGCAACTTCAGTTTCAAAGAAACTTCATTAGCTAATAAGCTCTGTTGTATTAATTTAATGAGGATCTGAATATCTAAATATGAACTCAGGCTGTGATTATCATATTGTATTAAAATTGAGAACTGGTGGGTTGGAAGTTGGAATGCATCTTTCTGACTTTTGTGAATGAAGATGTTCTATTCACAGCAGAGGTTTGTGCTTCTCAGAACACCACAAGGTTTAGAAACAAAATCAATTACGGAAACAATGGGAACTTTAGGAAGTCAAACTGTGGGCAATTCTGATATAGAAGCCTTTATGTACTGTCGTCTTCTGATGTGTTGGGCTTTGAAGGTAGGCATGGGTGACAGTTGAGGTGCAAAAAAGGAAACTAATCTATGCAGGGTGATACTCAGTTCCTTAAGCTCCTGTCATGCCTGTTTTCAAACTAGGAAAATATTTCGTAACACCAAGGCTAAAAAAGGTGAAGTAAGAAGAGAATCTGTACTTCATAAAATCAATCTCCAAATTTCTTGCTCTAGCAACCTCATGGTAGCTAATGTTCACAAATCTTAAGCTTGTTATGGTTGAAATAAGGAGTACCAAAATATACTAGAAGTAGGTGAAGTGATGGTATAAAGTACTCTTAAATCTTGAGCCAAGCTATCAAACGGTTTGGAACTTTATAATGTATGTAATCCCAGTACAGCAATAAAATTATTGATCAATACTCCAGATAGAGGAATAATTTAACAACTTAGTAGCAATCAAGGGTTTTCCAAGTATATTGTATAAAAATAATCACAACATAGTATCACTCCCATCTCTCACTGCTCTTCTGAGTCTGCTCTCCTTGTGTTCATGCACTTCTCTTGGCCATTTCTATATTCTCTTTCTGAATTTTGCCTTCTTATGCATAGTCTTTATTCCTTTTGATTCATATATTTTAATCTCTCTCTCCCTCACTTTTCATGTTCTTTTAGCACAGTTAAGGTCCAACTATTTCTTGTTTTCCCTCTGTGGATTTATTGGCCTCTGCTCAACCAGGTAATGTTTCAATCAATCCCAGACTGGATTTTTCAATATAAAGTAAACCTGTACACTAAGCTGCAGGGGAATTTTCATCCACAGACCTCAAAAGTGATAAGGATAAAAAAACCCCGTTTGCCACTTCAGCACTAATTCAGCACCATAGCAGAGAGATTGATAACATGGAAAACAGACCCTACCTGACATTTTGGCTGTCAAATAAAATTGAGAAGCTAATTGGGTTAAAGAGAAAAAATGAGGAGGGATTGCCCACACTGCAACTCTGGCTAGGTGGCACTGAAAAATCTCATGACTCATTTTCCTGCTGCAGGATATGAGCGGCTTCCCTAATTTCTATGTGAGGTAGCCATATTCTGGCTGAGTAGAGTAACAGCCTTAGGAGGACTATTGCCATATTCTGCTTATAAAAGCAAAAAAGGCTAATCTGACAGAACTGCAAGCTGAGGCAAAGCCCTCACCACATAAATGTCTTTGAGAGTTGATGTGCATGTAACTTTTGTAGTTCCTTTTCAGCTTCTGTTACTTCCTTGTCCTCCAAGAAATCTGGCTGCTCCTGCCTCACTAGTTCTCTGGTCCAGCTTCTCTTTTTCACCCTACCTTTTTAAACACCACTTTGCTGTTAAGTCAATCAGACTTTCTCCAGGTGCTTAGCCACACTTAGTTGCACTGATGTATTTCCTATTTGCTTCTTCATGCTGTATATTCCTTCAAAACCCTACACAGCCTGCCTTCTACTGGCTTGTTCTGGACCTCAGTAAAGGGCACAGAATTACTAGCATGGAGACAGGAAATACTAAGGCCAAATACTGAGTAAGGAAAGATGCCTAGAAGAGGGAAACTCATGTGGTATAGGATAAGACTTTTGGGACAAGTTACTTTCTCACATTGTAATTGTTTGCCAATACTGGACCCAGGTTTTATGTATATTTCTAAAGAGCCTACTCAGCAACAGAGACATGCATTTTTATTTGCTTGTTTCTAAGTACAGAGGCTTATGTTACTGTCATGGTTTAAGGTGGGGCTGGCCACTTGCAGTTTTTTCCATCAGTGTTGAGAAAATTAACACATTTCTCTTATCATATATACTGAAGATTTTATTCTAATCAAAGTTTGCAGATCATCTGCTGGTATTTTTGATTTAGGGAAGATTCTGTCACTGCCAAGGAAAACCTTGTGACAAAACAAGCAAGTGCAACTATATGTGGCTAGCCTTTTTGGGTTTTTTTATGTTTAATCCACCCATTTTTTGATATGAATTTAAAAGGTTAATGAGAGACAAGGTTGTAAAACCAGATCTCTTCAGGTACCTACATGCTGCTCACCAGCATGTGCACATGGTAAGATTATGCAATAAACCAGTTCTTGCAGAAACCCCCTGCTATTTTTTTATAGCATTAATACTGCTGTAAATTGATTCCAGTTTTGGTCCCTTTAAGTCAGGGCCCTGGGAATATTGTCCTGCCAGTCCCGCCTCCTCTCAGCCCTGCTATTAATCATGACTTGCCTGTCTTGAAATCTCCCACGGTTTGGTCACAGCTCCAAGGTCACAAGCTGTCATTAGCATTGATCTGAAAAACAGGATTGAACAATACAAACTGAACCAACCTTTGTTGGATTTCTAAACAACTCTGCTCTGGATGCATAAGTAAATAATACATATATAAAACGTCAGTCCAGGCACCCTTCTTTTCCTCCAGAAAAGGATGACATGTTTGAAATCTCAGCCATCAGCATGGCTTTTACATCACAATTGTGCCTAGGAAGCCTAATGTGTTGCAGGTTGCCAGACAATGAATTTTGGTATTGTGCATGGTACACTAGAAAAGAAATTACATTGCAAGGGAGTAACTGCTAATTTTGCAACACTTCTAACACCATTCACATTAACACATGGAATAGAAAGCGTGTGCTTCATGTGACACAAGGATATTATTACATAATAACACCCGCAAACTGGATTAATTTATATGCCTATTTGTAAGTGACTGCTATAGCAAGAGAACCTGTAATCACAGGAGGCATCCCAGACACTGTTTAAGCAGTTTCTATTGCTCATCTACAATAAAAATTTAAGATTTACTGTGAGCTATACTGCTCCACTGTAGTTTAATATCTAGCTACAACCATGTTTTATATGCATTAGGAGAAAGAAACCATTCAGCTGTAGAAAGTGTTTATGTACAGTACATGATGCAGATAAAAGTCTAAGAAAGTTTAAATGAAGAACAAGGGCATTTAAAATGAAGCATCAAATATATTGCCTGAATCTAAAATTAGGAATGGGTGAAATTGTATGGAAAATAGAAAATGGCCAATATTTTGGTCAAAAGGCCAAAAGGAAACAGAATTTTAATGAAATTTCAGATAAAATGAGACATAATCAGGCATGCATATGCAAATGCACACATTTATTATCTCAAAAGTGTGGTGTACTCAAACCACCCACAACGTCTGAGATTTTCAATAGCAGGCAAGCTCAGATAATTTGTGAGGGCTGGAAGACTACTGTGAGCTCTGTGAACAAATTCCCAGGTACAGAGTGAAAGGGCAGAGTGAAGCATGTCCAGTGAAAGAAAACAGCTGAGAGGAAGGAGGGAAGATCTCTGCATCCTGAGGGAGAATATTGATGCTTTCTGGAAAAAGAGCAGAAGGGCTGAGTGGTAGCTGGTGAGGCTGGGAGAACGGGAAGAAAGCAAGATAGAGTGTGAATGCAGAAATAGGAATGGAAAGATTGAGGTCACACTGATTACATCCCTGCCATTTGCTAATGTTTAGAATCATACTAGCTGTTTCATATCATGGATCATAATTTTAAAACAAGCTACCTTCTCTTTTACTCTTAAGTCTTCACTGCAATATATATGGAATTCCTTAGACAAATATGGTTACACTTTGAAATAACCAGAAAACAAGAAATAATAGTGCTCACCGAAATACTTCTCGGTGTTTTTTTATATTCCAGTCATAACCACCTTTACTGACAAGTTCAAAAAACTCGGTCCTTCTCCTGCAACAAAACAGATTATCAGAGAAAGGAACAAGACACTTCCAGGGCAGCACTGCAGTAGAAACACGGTTTTCTGGGTGATAAGAAATCATTGAATCTCATGTATTACTGTTAAAGTCGTTACACGGACAGTTCATTTAAGCGAAACATACTAATTTCCGAACATGTTCTATAAATGTCTGTTATCAATGTCAGAGTTGCCTAGTAAAAGCAATATTGTATTTATGGTCTCTGCAGATAAGGAAATAAATGGTACCAAAATGTTCAGTCTTCCATGGAAGCATGAAATATTCAATTACAGCAGTGGACAGACAGACAATAGAAACACTCCTGAAATATTACACACATCTCTTTACTTGTCCTAGGAAAAATGATTTTTACTTCTGGATCCTGGAGGGTTTTTCAGAGATGTGCAATTCTTGTTTCCAGCACACAGAACAATGAGACACAGGAGTGGTAGATGTCTCGAGTTAGTAGTTCTTATTGACTAGAAACTAGGTCTTCTTGCTTGGATCCTATGCTGTCTTCTTGTCTGTGTCCTCAAAGATAAGCCACAATATAGCCATAATATTGTTTGTTACTTTAAAATACCAAATTCTGACTTGTCATAGTGTGTAATTTCTTATGGTACTGAGACTCCAAGCAGCTCTTGTTGCACACAGACTATAATATGAAAGAGATACTGCCCCAGATAAGTGGAAGTTGAGGTATAAAAATATGAAGAAACTTGCCCAGGATGACACAGTATATTAGCATCAAGGCTAGAAAGCAAATGCCTATTTTCTTTGTGACAGTCCAGTGCCCCATCTCATTGGAGACTCGCTATCTCTTTGTCAAGTGGGAATGTAGTTAGATCTTGTACTTTCTACATTTATTGCAACTGGACTGAAATCTTGAACAGTGATTATTGAAAGCACAGTCTGATGGTAGCCAGTACAGGTTTTACACACAAGGAGATGCACACTTCCCGATGCACAAGGAATGTTTCCCTTGATCAGTGGACAGGATTTTATATGAGGCATGTTGTATTATTCTGATCACTGACTGTCATGCCTTATATGACTCCTACTATAAGGCTTTTCTATAATAGATTTCAAGGCAGCAACTAGAAGAGGGAGATATAAGGACTACATGATGATATCTACTCCCTTTTCTTTTGTGAAATAAGATACAAAAATACTTGCACATTACAAAATTCGCCACAACAATGCAAAGTCATGCATGCAGAAAACAGAAATCTGTTCTCTCACACAAAGTCATAGCGTCGTGGCCCCAGTGGAAATAACTATTGTAGCCATGAAAATTGTAGTGGCCAAAAGTAGCTGGCACGTAAACCTTAAATCAGCCTAATCCTGAGCAGATCATCACAACCACATACTCTATTATATGGTGAGTGGTGGATTTTTGGATCCTGTATTTCAGTCTAACTGTAAAATTTGGTAATGATTTAATTTGGAAGTATTGGATATTCTGGGCAATTCATATGTTACTAGAGAAAAAACAGGCAAGAATGTTTAAAGCTGAAAGCTCAGGAAGATTATATCCCAGAAACCTCAAACATTCAAATATAAAATATAGAGATCCATAAACAGTAACTGAAAATGTGAGTCTCAAGGCCTTATGTTAAGCTGAAAACTTTAAAATAAAAATTTTCTTTGAAATCAATTTACATGGATATGGAAGCAGTAGTCCAACTCCACTGAGAGTTTCTAGTGTAGGAAGGAGTCAACCTGAAGGAAGTAGCCATGTATGAAAAAACAATTCAGTGTTTCCTACTGATTGCTTATGCACGGTATCCAAAACAAAGAGGTTTGCTATTATTAAGCAAGCATAATATGTCAGGATTTCAGAAATAAACAGAATTATAACAATTTCGCAATGTCTTTGAATAACATTTACTTTGGGTGTATTTTCCCTAGAAGGGAAAGTTGTTCCACTATATATAGCAAGTCCAGTTGCTCTACAGCCCAGTGGCTCAAGACATCATTTGAGTGCATTTCCAGAAACTTCATTTTGCTTCCATGCTTTTGCTTGTTGTATTATTTACAAGCATCATTATGTAGAATTATCTACTAATGTTAAGTATATTTTCCATCTGATCCTTCACTGAAAGTAATCTCTTTGTTTGTTTGTACAAAAGTAGTGCCTTTAGAAGGTCATAAATTCTTGCCCTGCCTGGAGTTTTATTTCTGTTTTGTTAGCTGGACTTTGTGATCATTAGTTTTAGGCATTCATAGTATACTGATACAAGAATTTCTTTCTCCACAAAAATATGGGAGATGAAACAAACTGAAAAAAACATTTATGTACTTGTGTGGAAACATATGTTCACATGTGGTGGCTGTAAGAAGTGTAAGACATCAACATTTCCAGGAAGTAATTTTCGGACACTTTCAGAAGTAAAGCAGCAGAACTACCTGATTAATGAATTATAATAATACAAGAGGAAAAGATAACTCATCTGCAGATTTATGAGTAAAGAGGCCTCATTTGTTATGAATTTTCTGATTCATGTAGCACATAAAAATCAATTATGCAAGGAGGGAAAAATAATCTTGAAATTCAGATTATATCCCTTTTTGGACATTATTTCTCTGTATTAAACTGAAAGACAACTTGACCATGTAGCTTTTCAACCTAAGGCAGGCAGGGAAGAGAGCTCCATCATGTCTGGGGCTGAACAGAGTTCCTTCCCAAGGCACTGCAATGGGCCCTCTCTGGCTCTGCCAGGGGGAGCACATGGGGGCATGCTGTCCTCAGCCCCTGCCACTCATCTCATCCTTAAAAGCACAAAACATTTCTGCAGTAGTTATTATTTGTGGTGAGACAGGAGAACTCATACTGACACATCGCTGTGGTCATTGCATCTCACTTGAAGCTGTCAGCAAATTCCACTGTCATACCAGCCTCCCAGGTAACAAGCATCCTAACAAATGGTTTCAAAAAGAGTGTGTTTAAAAGGGTTTATTTGTCCTGCTCAGGATTTTCATGTTGGCAAGCAGAAGTCTCTTCATGGACTAACATTTAGAAGTGATTTATAATAAAACTATTCATTAAAACCCTTTCTTAATACAACTCTGAGAACAGACTTGTAGGAAACAAATATCAGTATGTCTACTGCCAGTACATTAGGAACAGCCCTTGGGCACAGTAATACTGAGAAAAAACTACAAAGCAAACGTTGCAGTATCTCAGTTAGTATTCTGACAACTAACAGCTAAAGATACAATGTTGATATACATAGCTGAACAATTTCAGGGTGAAGACTTCACCTGAAGTTTTCTGGAAACTTGGTTTGGTATCAACCATCAGCACAAAAGAGGGGCAGAATCCAGGTATACCACCCTAAGAAAAATAAGACTAAATGCCAGCCAGCACTGTACAGGATAGGATGTTAATGGACATCAAACAAAAATTCCTAAGGATGAAATACTGTCAAGGCTGAGAAGGCAGTACAGTGAAACTGCACATCCAACAGCACTTCTCTCTGTAAGTCAGCCCCAGGCATGTGCCAGAGAGGGGAATGTCAGAAGTGCAATGTGACTCTGACACCAGGACTCCACCAGCTACACACATATTCCCACTGGGAAGAACTTGGTAATAATTAACAGTATTTGAAAAATACAGATTAGCACCAACTAAGAAATCTACTTGGAGATTTGATATGCAAAGAAAGAAATGAAAAAACCCTTAAGAGAGAGATTCTATTTCTTTCTCTCAAGTTAAGCTTTTTCAGACCTGTTCTTGTGTGATGTAAATTGGCATGCTTTGTCTTCAAAGAAGCAATGCATATGCTTTCATGACCTCTGCAACTAAATATAATATTTCTTAGCATACATGTTTAGAAACTCTGAAATGGTGGAAAATAATTCTAATATGTAATTGATTTTCTACATGCCTGAATAAATGATGACAAAAGGGACAGAAGAATTCCAGAACTGAGCTGTAGCCAATTCCTGGGATTGCTTTAAAGTATAAGCCTAGGATTTCACTTGCTTTTTGTTGATACAAACATGTTACACATTAAAGCAAAACTTACTTGGACACTTGAGATATTTCTATTAGCCTGAGATATACTAAGTATTAGACTAAATCTCTTCAACCACAGCTGAACACTAATTTCTCATATTATATATCCTTATTGGTATTTAATAGGTCATTAGAGTAAGTTCTTAGAATTTTCATTTGTCAAATACAAAAAATGCCGATACTTACTCAAAATACAGAGTGAGGTCTGTTGCCAATATTGATTGCTTTAGAAGCTGCATAAGGTCACTGTAGTCCTTAGAGGACAAGTTAGCAAAGATGTTGTGACCCTATAATGAAAGAGATAAAAGAGGTAAAGGACTAGCAATCAATATAGGTTTTTAAAAGGTTTTCTAACTCGTTAGTCTACTGTTCCCTATAACAGATGCCTTTTCTAATTCATGTCAAAACTATGACAAAATAATAATTTTAATACTGCTGAGATTACATGGGGGTGGAAGAGTTGACAATTGTAATCAAGCACCTAGGATGTTTTTCTAAACTCTGCTGAAATTACAGTCTCTTGAGTAAAGATTTATCTTTTGCTCTGACCCTGCACAGACTCAGTTTATGGGCAAAAACTATGGATACATCTCAATCTTCCCTCTTATTAAATGTTTTGGGGAGATGTGCATTGCAGCTTTTGAGTTTTGCTCCTAATAGATTTATCTGTGCTGCTGCTTGCAGGCACACAAGCTGCTGTTAGAGCAATCAAAAGCACTAAATCAGCCTTCCATTCACAACAGCTCATTTGCTCACTCTGCCAGTGTTGCTGTTGCCTTACAAGCATTCACCATTCAGGCTACAGAACCACAACTTTATCCAGTTCAAATGGCCTTTGTAGGCCAAATAGGTTACTTTTTAAAGGATCATGGATTAAGAATGTGAAAGGTGCTCCATGGTCACAAGGAAAGGAAACAATTATTTAATATTGCTATTTGAGAGCAGGAGGGTCCTTTTGTAACTGAATTTCTGAAAACCGGAGGAGGACAGAGATCCTACAATTTATGAAATCCTAGAGGAGATAAACTGAAATAATACAAAATCCATAAGATTAAGAATTATTCTATGACTCTTAAGTGGTCTTTGTGAGATTAGTCAAATATAAGCACATTAACGTAAATAAAAGTACACCACTTTTTTCTTTTTCTTTTTTTCCTAATGACCTACAGAAAAAAATAAGTTCTTGCTAAGCAAAGTCTTACTTTGGTGACATTTAGCACTGTCATAAACTCATTCAGTATGCACTGCCATCTGCTGCCTAGGAAGATTAAAATGCCCTTAAACCCAAGAATTTTCCAGCAATAAGATTGCTATAACCATGATGATCTGAGGACACAGATAATATAAGGTCTGCAGGTAGAGATGGTATTTTTTAATAGATCAGCTAATTGTTGGCCTAAAAAAATAACTTATCATGCATAAAATACACTCTTCTCTGTGATTCCGAAATCATTATTTATTTTTGGCCAAATATTGAAAAGGATTTGAGAAACTAAGCTTATTTTTGAAAAACAATTTTTAAACTAAAGTACTCAGAAGAAAATAAAGCAAAATTTATCAGGAAAAATGCAGCTCTTCCAACAGGGGCAATTTACCAAGTTACCTGTTGTTCTGTATTTGTTGTCTTTCTGAGCTGTTTCATGGTGCAGAAAACCATGTCACTATAAAGCTTAAGATCATGTATATTGAGGTTGGCATGTCAAGAATAAAGAATAAATAGCTCCTTTGTCCAAGATAATAAAAATCTAAATAAATAATACAATACACTAGGTTTCCTTCTAGATAGCAAAAACAGATTAGAATATCAACGTTAGTGGATGGGGTATAATCTAATTTCAGTTCATTTGAGAAAGGAGACAAACAGCTCAGCTGGTGAAACTTGGTGTATCTTTAAGAAGATTGGAGGATCCAAACCTGCATTTATTCCAAACTGAGGGCTGTTGTGTTACATTAACAAATAGTGTCTATTGGATAAAAATCCTGTAAGATTAATTTTCTGGTCTAGAAATGAGGACCTGGAGAAGAAGCTGCCTGAATAATCAAAGGGGAAGTCTTGCCTTTCAAGTAATATTTACATCTCTGAAAGAAGCTGGTGTAGATTCTAATGCAAGAAGTAACTTCCTCCCTCTCCCCCCAAATTTATTGGGTTTTAAGCTGGAAAAGATAAAGAAAAGCATCTAGACTGACATGAGCTGTGGGCTTTCACAGAGGTGTCCATGTCTTGAGCCTATCTTTTGGGAGACATTTAGTCGTGATGAAGATTTCAGGCACTAGAGAAATCACTGCTTCCCAGGAAAGCTTGTTCCAGAGGCTGAACATTGGTTTAGAAAAAACCCAGAACATTCCTATTCTGAAGCAGTCTGTTTAACTTTAAAATGTTGCTTTTTCTTATGCATTTCCTTGGTAGTATAAGGAGCCATTTAATTCCTAGTATCACCTTCTAGAGGCTAGGCTAAGTAGATAGAGCTGTTTAAATCTTGTGCTGGTGATCTCCTTTCCTGTGTCTACTTTTTTAATATAATGTTAAAAAATTTGAACACTAAAGCCACAGTTCCGTGACTAATGTCAGTGTCACTGTAAAGCCATCAACCTGTTCCTGTTTGCCTGTGACCATGGGACATTCACAGATGCTTTTCAAAAGCTACTGCAGATCAGCATATGGTCTCATATATATACTGAAGGCATTTTATAACTACCTATCCATGTAAATGAAGAAAATTCATCCATTGTTTTGTAAGGATCTTTCTACTTTTCACATTTACTATATCTCTGGGATAGAACATGCTGTGTACTGGAACGCGTAAAATATTCTAGGCAAGAATTATGTCTTTATATGTATCTGCAAAGCAACTAGTGCACTTTGGGAGGCAGGGCATTACTGATAAAAAAAAAAAAAAAGGTTTAGTAAAATTATGCAAAACCATTGTAACAGTACTGATTAAAGAAAGACTGTCAAAAAACTTAAACAGGTCCAGTAAAGGATGACCATGATACTCTGAATACAGTACCTGTGGGGAAGGGTAAGAACCTACCTATAAACCAGTGAGCAGGATATATGTAAGAAGACTGAGAAAAGATGACAATAAGATTAGGATATGTTTGCCTTGCCCCCTAGCTGATGGAGACAAATATAAACTCCAGGCTCTATGATCAGCATTTGTAGTTATTTAATTTTGTGCTAGTTGTGACCTTTGTGGCAACCAATAATTTCTCAAGGAGAAGGCATTAAAAAGGTACTGTGTGTGGTATTTCCTTTCGCTGGCTGAAACTGCCTACAAGCTTACAGTGAGATTAATAGGAATGCTTTTGTACCTCACTTTGGAGAATCATGACAGCGTGATTGAAATGGTGGTGTTCCAAGGTAGCAGAGGTGCCGTAGAGCTGAGCTAAGGCTGATCCGCTCCTGCAACAGAACATGGGGAGTCAACAAATACTGCTCATCTGTTTACAAAGCAGGTTTCAGAGACAACATAGTCACAAAAGCAGGTAGCCACACTCCCTCTCCAATTCAGCAACCACACTTAAGACAGCGGACAAGATCAAATTCTAATTTAGAGCCAGATACAAGACGTTTATGTTCCACTCCTTGCTAAATATCATCAGCTGATCAAAGATTTTCCTGGAACTACATGACATTTTGTAATGCAATTTTCAAAGTGCCTCAGCAATGCAACAGCATGGGTGCCCCACTGTGCACTAAAGACAAACAGTAGCATCCTTGAAACTCTTAAAAAAAACCCCAAAACACAACAACATAAAAACAATTGCTAATGCCATGAGGTTTTGTCTGTATATAAAACCATACACTTAAAAAAATACTAAGGTAAACAAAAAGACACTAAGTGAGAGCAGTGAAAATAAAGTTTAGCTTCTCTTTACAGTGTATTTTCTCATCATGTTTATTGTCAAAACCAAAGTGCACAAAGCAGGTGGGGTTTCTGAGTTTAAAGAACAAAAATCTACAGCATACAATTATAATATTGTGAATCGCTGGGAGATACAGAGAATGGGAGTGGATTGACCGAATAGTTACTGTATTACTTCTGGGGCCCAGCCTAAAATGACAAGATGAGTTTCTTTCCAAAGAAACAAGAACAAGAGATTAGGCTAGATACAAACAAAAAGAGTCTCCTAGGAGCATATACTATAAAAATGCACCATACTGATATTTAATTATCAGGAGCAGCTATATTAGAGAGAGTGATGTCCAGGAAACATCATCCCTAGAGAACGTGGTGTTGAAATATAAAACACAGCCATTTCAGACAACTATGATATTGCCTCCACCATATACCGCTTGAGCTTTCATCACATAGAACAGCTGTATTGAGCTCTGAAGATAAAATAGGAAAATGTGATGCTTAAATTTATGTCAGATTAGAGGAATAAATCATAGCTGCTGTTATGAAAACTACAGCTCCTGTTTTCAGGGGTGTTTTATGTGTGCTAATGTTTGTCTCTTGTTAAAATGTCTTCAGCAATTTCTTTATGGAGTCATAAAATGGTAGCCTCCTCTTTGTATTTTGTTGTCAAACAGCAAGTATTAGTGATAGGAGTCTAATGCTGAAACCTTTACCTTTAACTCAGCCATTATACCTCCGCAAAAGAGATACTGTTGTGTAATGTTACGGTGGAGAAGTGGTTAACTTAATCAGAGCCTAGAACAGTCAGGAGGTAAATCTTAGGTCTCGTTTTTGTAAATTAGGAACATGAACATCAATCAGCTGAGCTTCCTTCCCATTTGTCTCGTCTTTTTTGATTCTCTTCAAGACTCAGCTGCAAAAAGGAATCTTATAGTGCTTGGTAACCTTTGCACCACGAGCTCTGTCTTTTGAGCACCGGAATTGATTTTCCTTGCTATGGTGATTGAAGATCCAGACAGTGTCATTGCTTCATTGAGACTGTACAGCAGCACCAACAGCTCAGGAAATCGCAGCTTAATGAATATCAGAAACATCAGTTTGAGTGATGTCCACTGAGGCAGCTCTTCCCCAGAAATGTAGCAGCCTGTGCATACACATATCCCAGCAGAGTATTTCTGCAAAAGGTAGGACAAAATGTGCTAATACAACATCACCCTGTGTTTCAAATATCTTTGGACAACCTTTTGACCACTTTCCCATCACACTGGAGGATCAGCAGAAAAAAGAACAGACAAAGCTGGAAATGCATTCTGGGATCTGCAGGACAAGGGCCTCAAGGTCTTGTATTCTGACTGTAGAGGATTTCGGGAATCAAGAAGACAACCTGGGATTTTGAGGAGGCTTTGTGTTTAATAGCTTTATTTCACACCCTGGCCAGGGTGTTGCTGGGGGCATTTCCTGTTGTCCCCCTCTGTTCTCAGGGAACATAGAAATGGGAAAGAATTTTATCTTGGCCAAGGGGGTTCCCTTACCACCACAGTAAGTACTCTCAAACCTTCCACGAAACTGCTCCCACCTCAGTGTGTCTAAAGGCAGCAGTCTGGACAGTGAAAATATTCAGGGCTACTGAATCAGCTCCTAACCACTTTGAATAAAATAAAACTAATTTTTAGAATTTAAAATGGCCCGGAGAGCAAGATTTCACATAGGTGATGTAAGAATCTGCCTTCAAAATCCAATTTTGTGTGCTGATGGGTACTGACCATTGCAAGGGGTGACCAGTCCATGCCAGCCCACTGCAGCATATCTCCAAACAGCCTCTGTATGTTCTGGCACATGGGGCAGGCCAGGGAGGAGGCATTTCTAACCAAGGACCCTGTGTGCTCCACTACCAATGGGTATGTGCTGAAGCCACTACTCCAGCCACCTGCTGTGGAAAATAAGCATGAGAGCTCCACCATGATGGCAACTTCATAAACCAGGAATTACTTTATGCTTGCCTATACTGATGTGAAAGCATTATTTTATCTATTTTCTCCTTGACAGTTGAACAAGGTTTTTCTTAATGTCATGCATTCCAGCCAGATGGACATTTTCAGTCATTGAATATCAGAATCAATAATACCTCAGCCTGAGAAGAGCATCAAGTTTTGGCACCATGTTTCAAAATGTGGAGTCAGTTCAACAGCCTGATACAAAGGACAAGCCAGCAATTACCCAAAAGAACAGAGAATGATAAAGATGAATAGTCCCTTACTATATAGGAGAATAAGAATACTTGGCCTTGGCCTAGGAGGCCTGAAATTAATGCTTCATTCTTTATCCTGGTCACCTTTTGCTCTCCTGTGGAAGAAAAACAAATTAAAGTAATAAGAATTAGAAAACTTACTTGGCTTGGAAGGCATTGTTGGTTCCCCTGTGGTCAAGGTCATGACATAAGCATCCCACAATCAAAGCTAAAATTTCAATTTCAGTCAGAATCTCCTGAAATCCTGCAGTCTGAAAGCAGAAAAAAAATAGCAGCTGTAACTATCAGTAGCAACAGGGATAAGTAATGTTAGTCCATTGAACAACAGTCAACTTTGTTTTGGTACCATGAATGTTTCAGTAAGGAGAAGATAAATGTGTTATTGTCATACTATATTCCCTGCTGTATATTAGATGGTTGGCAGAATACATAACGTCCTTGGACTGATCTGTTATTATCTCTCTGTTGCATTTCTATCATGCCATTTCTTCACTACCCAGCAGGCACTAAAGGCAAAAGAGCTGAAAACAAACACCAGTAGCTATACACTAAGACAGAAACTGGAATTTCACATCAGAGAAATACAAAGCAAAATTATTTCATTTTGAAATAATTGTTTAGAGAAGCACTTAGATTTCTTCAGTCCTGAGGTGACTGTCTTTGTCAACCCCTACTGTCAGAGATAGCTGAGATGTTAAGTCAGAAGATCTATAAAAATTGTCAGTGAAATATTCTCTATGGAACTGTTATGAACTATTGAGAAATCTGTTAAGAGTGACACATGAAATGAAGAGCCATGATTTAAAGAGTAAACATCTCAAATGGCATATTTTGCTGCATATGCCTACTAGAATTTAGGAGACAATTTTGAAAACTGATGTATTGAAGCATCGCAGGAGCAGCTCAGACCAGATATGCCTGAGTGAACAGGCGAGCAGAGCCTAAAAACCTATTTTTGCCACAATACTTCTCATGGACACTTGCCACAGCTGTTTTCTTGCCCGAACTGGCTCACATCAGAAAAGAAACACTACTGTTATTGCTATCATCAAGCAACCTGAGCAGATCTTGTCTGGAGGACACCACCTCTCCACTGCTGTTCATCTTGCCCGTGGCAGAAACAACTTGGTTCTTTAACTTTTCAGAAGCACAAGGGCTGTATTGCCTGCAAAAATTACCGGCTGAGCTGGAAAATCCTGACACCTGCCTTTCCACTGTGCCAGTTTCCAATGACACTCCTTAATTAGCCACATGATCTTGTTAGTGTGAAAGGAAATTCTATCAAAGGCATACAAAATACATTTATATTGGAGAACCAAGCCAAGGCTGAACAGCGAGTAAGAAATCCTGAATTCCAGTGATTTTCAATCAATGTGATACTAAGACACTGAATATCAGCAGTACTTAATAACCTTACATGGTAGGAATTTACAGTTCACTCAGAAATCCCAGTCAGTTGCTGCAATATCATTTAAAAAATGCTCATTCAAAGCCAAATTCAAATCCACCAGTGTACAGACTAATTTTATGAGATTCTCCTGATTTCTAGTGGTGTTTCAATAACAGCTACCCATGCAGAGGCAATTATCTAAAAAACAGTGGGGTTTTAAAATGTTTAAATATTGTTCTTAAATAACAAATAATCAAGGTTCCTTTTTTAAAAAAAAGATTTAAAAACAGGTTTGTTAACTGACAACATGCCATTTGTCAAGATTCAATCTAGAGAAAATATTAATGGCTAACTTAAAACAACTTAAAATAGAAGTTTTATAACATAGAATTGATGCTGTAATAAATATTCTTTAGCATAACACAAGCTTTGATTAAATTCAGTGATTCAACCGGTATTGCAAATGCAGGAAAAGTTGATTAAGGAGTTTATTAACAGTAGCAATACCTCTCAAATAAACACAACATTGTTTTTAATCAAAAGTCTTGTCATTGAATGTATGAGAGAAATATAGCATATTTCACTTAATAAAAACAATTTAATTTAAAACAATGTTACAGTAAGGGGATATCTGCTTTGAACATGATGCAAGAAAATAGAGGATTACATTTCCCCATTTTTTAAATTTACACAGAGAGAAAAAATACATGGCTATAGATGATAGTGCAGTAAAATTTATTTTTACCAGAAAAGGAATGACCCATAACTCATGAGTGGCAGTGTCTTCAGTGAGTTATGGAGGTCATTCTCTCATGTGAGAAAATGAATTGCATTCATTATACCTTGCTCCACATTTATATGTTTTGTTATTAGCACACCAGATGGGACTTTAATTTTGTATTGCGTACTTGTTAATTTTAACTTTTTGAAATAAGCATCAGTGTGAGCTGTGTTAGGCAAAGGCACTGATAATGAAGCCTGAGCTTGATCCCTGTCATTTACTTTCCTGGGATGTCCTTAGCTCGCAGGAGCAGTCCCACTTCAGTGGTTATCTTCAGAATATTTGGGCAATTGGAAATACAGAAGTATGGCTCACAGAACTGGGCTTATAATTGTTCAGCATCTAACCAGAGGGAAAATGCATTCTTAGATATACAGGACCATGCCTTAGATATTCAGAAGGCTGACCCAGGTTTAAGCTTTGTTAAATTTCTGCTGTTGATTTGTTCAGCCCAGCTGAATTTTCCTTCTACATTCAGTGGGAGCATAGTCAGGCTATTAGAGGCTGCCGTGTTAGAGATTAGACAGTACTTCACTGCGTTAAGTCCAGCTGAAAAACCCCTAAAAGAGACCTATTGGTTTATATTTGTGGTGCAGTCAATATGGCTGACTGTCAGGAATAGTGCACAATAACTTCACAAAGCATTCCTTCTTGAGCATCAGAGCCCCTTTGATTGTCAAAGAATTTTCCTCTTTTTGCAAGTGAAAAAACAAGGCACCTACTAAGTCAGATGGTTCCTCCAAGATAAACACAGTCAGAGCAGGCCTTGTGCTATTACTAAGTCCCTTGACTCTCTCTTTTGTGTCTTTTTTTCACAAGATCAGTCTTCCTATCACTGAAATGGAGAGCAACCCAAGCAGATCACACACCTGAACTTACTCTGTTCTCAGCCAGAGCCAGGGCAAACTGGTGTGGGATGCGTGGTGAGCCCAATGCTGCGGGTACACGCATCCAGCCCTGCATGTGGAACTGCTTGTTCTGTTTATTACCCGGAGTGTGGGTAGTGAAATGAGCTTGGCTTGAAAATTCTGGATCACCTCCCACAGACAGTTGCATCCCTCTGCTGGCTGCTAAAAGGATCCTGAAATTCTGCTTTGAGAACTAAGGACAAAGCTCTTTACGGTGGAGGCCTCACAGGCTTGCTGGTGGCTGTTGAAGCAGGGACCTGCTTCTGCCCTGCGGGCTGCCAGTGTAGTCACCCCTAGCTGAGATTGAGATACCTGGTGGGAAAGCTCGTTTCCCATCTAAGACCAGCCTGATGAAAATCTGGCCTCGGAGCTCCATCTAGAGGTCCTCAGGGTTTGAGGGCAGCCTTAGGCAGAAATTCAGGTAATTCCCAGTTGAACGGCGCTGCCTGACTTTTCTCTTACTCCTCAGAGTAGAAAGCTTTCTATTTTTCTGTAGCTGAAAAAAAAGCACGTCATGCTTATAAAATTCTAAAGACTACTAATGCCCACACATTACCGCGAGATTTCATTAGAGATTATCAGAAAATTTCAGCTGGAACAACATTAATTCTGCTCAGCTGAACAGCCTCATGCCCAGAAGTGACCATTCTCTAGTTGAACATCTCCATTTCTTTTGTCCCACCACGTATGGTACAACTTTTCTGACCTCTGTAAATGCCCAAAGGAACAAACACACATCACTGGGGTGGACCTAGCACTAGACCGACACCTACCTGCTAGAGGAAGTACCATTCTGTTTTTTCTTGCCTGATGCACAAAGTTCTGCCACAGAGACAATGCCAAATGGAGGAGGACAGCTGGGAGCCCCCCCCCCACAAGACAGCTCTGCCCTGTGAGCAGGGAACAGGCTATGGACTGTCTCGAGTCCGTGTCACACAGTGCTGACCTGTGCTGTGAATGGCACAGGCTGTGGAGTCTCCAGCTCCACAGACAAGGTCCAACTGCTCACTACGCCACAGAGACTGGCCAGCAAAAAGAATATAAACATTCGGTGATTAAAAATTAGAGAATAAGCACATGATATCCCAGATAGATAAATAAATTCTTGCACAAATGCTGTTGATATGACCACTTTAATGTTTAAAATTAATGACTCTGGCCATTAAAATTGAAAACAAATTAAAAATCGAAAACCTTGAATTCTTATTTTATCTGAAGATAAGGCAAACAAAAAACGTAAAGGAAAGTGCAGTGTGCACACAGACATGTTGCTTCTCTTTTGCCATATTAACCAGAATATTAAGCGCCCAGGTCCACCAAGTTTTTTATTGATACATTTACAAGAATTAACTAGAACAGTAGTACTTTCAATAGAATTTGCTTACATGCTGAGAGGAATTATTGGTTCTGATAGTGATGCCTATTAATAAAACACAGAAATCTTAGAGCGTCTAATGGGGACGCAAGATTCACTTAGATCATTACATTGGAAGACAGTCTTAAAATATTTTAAGGCAATACCTTCTACAACAATTTAGATGAAGTTGAATAAGAAGGCAATCAATATCAACATAATAAATACCTCTGGGATTCTCATCTTCCTTGTTTTTGTACTTCCCAATTTAAAAGTCTGAAATAAATGTCAAATCAAAGAAAAACATTTTTGTAAGATCAAGATCTATAATAATAAGCTTACTCCAAGACTGCCACCTGTTTTCTGTCACTTTAATGTGCCCGTGATATCACTGTCACTAAAACACTGTAAGGCTTTGCCAAACATGTGCCACCTTAAGCTGGATAACCTAATCTGGTGTTTCTATTGGAAATGAATAGGTATCATAATAAGTAGAAAATAAATCAAATCTTGGAAAGTGTTTAGATAGGTAAGGCCATGTGGCAGCAAAAGCTCTTCCAGGATTGTGTCTGTAGCTGGATACTTACAGTTAACATGGCAAACATTAGCTGGCAGACGTTGAAAGCGTGTCTCCAGTTGTGATACAAAACCATCCGGTAATTCTTTCTTACTGTCAAAAGCCACCTACACAGCGTCTGAAATGAAAAGTACAAATTGTACCAGGGCTACTAAATGTGTACAAATGGACAGAGCAGTGCCAAGACAAAAGCAGCAGATAACTCTGCAGTGCAGATGGTTACCTCGTAGTCAATTTTAAATTTCTGAACCATTCCAAGTTCCATGAACATCCGCAGGGCTGCAGTAATCATGGCATCCACATCAAGTGAGAAGTCATCAAAATGGATATCATCAATGCGAAGCTCTGACACCAGAGGGATATTTGCTGCCTGAAAATGCCAAAGGGAAACTTCTGATTCAAAACTTGGGTTTGGGTTTTTTTGTGTGTCACTCATAAAAGAAACCATCCATACATCAGTTTTGACCTACCAGTACATCCCCTGCTTGATTTGAATGCTAAGCAATAGAAGTTTTCATCTGAGAAATACAAACATATACCAGTTAACAGAGCTGGAAAACAGTGGGAAGAAGAACCTGGTATGAGCAGGAAATACACTCATCATCCCAACTGGAGCCCGTATATAGCGTCTAGATTGTGAGAGCTGACCACTTCACAGCTACTGCAGTAGCACAATATATTCCAATGCAAATTGCAATTCTGTAATGCACAAAACATCTGGACAGTGAGCAGCTGGGAAGTTTAATTGCTACCATTCAGGAATGCAAAGTAAATATACTACTCTGCAGAATTCATCATCAAAATACCTTTACATTCATAAGCATACAAGTACCCTTTGCTTTATGCTGCTCACTACACATTCATAGAACCAAAAAAGAGCAATACAAGAAATGTCCAGCTTTCAAAGTAGAAGAAAAATAATTTTCAACATAATGATTATGTAGTAAGTCAGTAAGCAAAAACAGCCTTATATTTTACTTTGTCATTGTAACAGCAGGCTTTTGTTCTGTTTGTAAGATTGGAATGAGCTTTTTATGCTCACAAAAACATCCAAATGAGTGTGCAGGACTGGCTCACACACATAGTTGTGCACACAGATGTGTTGTGGCTGGCCTAGTGGCAGCACCTGCAGGAGCCAGAGCGAGGTGCTGACAACCTTCAAGGACTTGTTTGTCCTTCCTTACGCCCCTTTGGACTTGCCACTCATTTCCCTAGAGAGGGCAGGTGGAGAAGGCTGCATTTGCTGAAGGAGCATCTGTTCTCTGTCTCCTGCAGTGAGAAGGTGATGGGTCAGGTAGAAACCTCTCAAAGGGGCTGGATTCAGCCCACAGGCCATAAGCTGGATGATGCTGAATTAGGTAAAATCGCATGGACTCAGCTGGTGTGGCACATCCAGCTACTCACCTGCATAAAATATGTGACCATCTTATGGTTTTCTTTTTGAAAACTTGTGTTTTGAAATATTGCACACTAACTACAACAAGTTAATGACATGTAACAAGCTTTTTCTAGCCAAAGGCAAATTGTCACCTTGATCATTACTTTGAGATTAAGCTGGATTCTATACAATTCTATACAATAGAAGAAAAGATGGTGTAAACCTGCCATAAAATAGTATTAACATTGAAGTGTTAATTTAATTGCCAGCTAGAAGTTTTTTCAGGTCAGCACCCAGTAAAGCATGCCAATACCACAAAAAGCCATAGTATTACACCAATGATGTTAACTGACAGGAAATACAACAAACCCATCAAGTCAAATTTCATCCTAGGACAGAGCTGAAGAACCTGCTAGCATATTCATCCAAGTTGAATCAATTCAGCATCTTTTTTAACAATTCTTGATACATTTGAAATAGTTCTAGATTATCCTAACAGGAGTTATGCCTTAATACTCTTTGAGATCTGGCTGAAAAGCTTTGTGTTTACTTCTGAGGTAAAGAAAGCAAGAAAATATAGTCAGGTGGGAAACAGGAATGCTAGCCCAAAGACAGTGCTGTCCAGACCTCCAGCAGCCTTACAAAAGTTGTGACTCTTTAATTAATCAGGTATTCTTCAGAGCTTTTGGGGGATACTCAAGAGGCATAGTAATATTTAGTCCATGAATACCACCTTTGCATAGCAAATGCACTCTTTATAACATGTCTCTCAGGGAAGAAACACATTTGTCCACGTTACTTGTTCTTTAGAGAGAATTTCAAATAACAAAGATGCTGAAACAGAAGCTGTTGATTGTAAGTGGACCTACTTGATATTGTTTAATCAAAACTCTATTTACAAACCTATTGCTGCATTTTGATAAACTTTGAAGTGGGCTCTGGTTAAAATTTTCACAATTTTTGTCCTCTTAAAGGAAAACAGATATTTTCCTTGCTACTTTTTACTGGAAAAAAACACTTTTACCAGCCTATTACAATTCAAGGGTAAACACTTGAAGCAGTTGCTCAACTAGAATTGTTTTTCCCCTCTGTCAAACAGTGGAGAAATAACAATATATTCCAAATCTATTACAGAGTGAACAACAGAATATTAACAAAGCAAGTCAAAAACAATTTCTTCCCATGTCAGTCTGAAACTTTTAAATATTTATGAGGTTTTACATTTCTAAATTTAACAGGAGTGCCATAATCCAGAATAACTGCTGAATTAATAGCCAGGAGATAACATTTGTATAAAAGAGCCATTTGCTTTACAACAGCAATAAAGGAAACAACAGAATTATGAGTGTTGAGACTAATTTGAATAATGCTTAAAAAAATTGATATGTTGTCGGGCTGCAGCAATATTCTGGCTGCACCTGGCATTGCTTGTCCTCAGCTTCTTAGGCTGGAAATGCAGCAGTCCAGGGTTTATAGGAGAACAGTCATTAAAACTTCATTTTTTTTTAATTACAAAGAGATAAAAGAATTCATAATACAGAATATTAAAACATATCCATCCCTGAAATTTTTCTGCACTGCAGGACAAATACCAGTGGATTTCTTAAAATAAACAGCAATAACAACACTCTCTTCCAGGAAAACAGAGGGGATAAAAGCACCGTGACAATAAGAGGAAGGGGCAGGCAATTAAAATTCAAGTTACAGTGAAATTATTTTCAAAGCACCCCAGTGATTTAGATTCACTTAAAAGGCTCGCTTCCTTTTAAATGTTTTGAAGTTCAATTTCCCCTTTCTAAAAACAATTAAGAACATTATACTCCGAGGTCTTTTTACCCTGCAGACCAAGCAATTTGAATGCTCTTAATCTTTAAGAAAAATTCATATGACTTTTCTGTGAGCTTATGGTAAATTAAAGCCGGATGTGCCTCCTCTGATCACTTCTCCATACCTCCTGATACTCAAGCAAAAATTAGTCTTGAAAGGGACCACAAAGACAAGTTGGGCTGAACACATGAAAGGCAAGTGGTCTTGCCCAATAAAGTAGAAAATCAGCAGTCAACAGACTGGGAAACTATCAACACTTGTAGGCAGCTTGAAAAAGAGGATGTCATGCACCCAGATGAGAGCATAAAGAAAGGGTCTCTAGGCTCTCCATACTCAGATGTGCATGGGATGGAGTGGAATGTATACAGGAAGGAGGAAAAGTGCCTTTGTACTTAATTAAGGATTGGAGAGATATTCTCCTTTCCTCATTGGTCTTGTTATCATGCAAACTGCTTCACAGTCTGCTCACTATAGGTGAGCTGCTAGGAGATGGGTGACAAGCTGAGCCTTACCTTTCAGCCTTTCCCAAAGGACCATATGTCATTAGTGACCATCACACTTCCAAATACATGGAACACACAAGTGGATTCTACCAACAACTCCCAATTCTGGCAACTATAAAGCTCCTCAAAACAGAAAAATTATGTTTCTTATTCAGTATTAATAAGGCTTTTAGCAGCTGTGAGTGAACAAACCACTTCAGGAAACTAAAGAGTCAAAGTTTTAGGGAAACAATGAAAGGCTAAATACTTATTTAATGCTTACACCTTGGTGCTGCTGAAGACAACTGTCTCACCGCTTTAGATGTACAAAACATATGCTGTATAAAATGCAACTAGATAACAATAAAGATAAGCATTCATACTTGTTTTTTTCATGTAGGCAGTATGCATTCACGTGTAAATGTTTGTCAGAAAAATGCAGAATTATATGCACACACATACACAGTATTTTACAACATTCTCACTGTAAGGGCTGAACGAAGCGATCACAATCAATCAATACAAGCAAAAGGGGAGACTTCTACAGCTCTAAATGGACATATTTCCTAAATGAAAGATAGGTTTTACATTCAGCTCAGTTAATGTTACTGCAAATTGCTTTCCTTTCAATCCTACTTTCAGTTTCTGTCATATGCCACACTAGTACCTTCATAATAGCCAATAATGCTATTGAGAATACGTATGCAAAGTATACCATTACATGCATATCAACATTAAATCAGTTTATAGTTATAAGTAGTACAAGAGTGATCCCTTGGAGTTGGTTGAAAGAAAAGGGGGCGAGCTTCCTATCCTGAATAACTTGTAGGTGTGACAACTGCTATAAGGTCATGATAGGTTTCCGTATCTGAGGATATGGAAACACATTACCAGTCCTTCCAAACAGGGAAGAAAATGTATGGATTTCCCTGACAATCCACACAGTTTTACAAACCAAACTTCCTGTGTGAGTTGGAAGTCTAGTTTTGACTACGGGAAAGCTATACTAAGCTAAAGTCTTCTTGTTCCAGTTAATCAGATGTACCACCAGTGGAGACCAGCAGACAGGTCACATGCTGCCAGCATAAAAAACGGTCAGAGGCACATAACTTCTTACATAGGGAAAAACTGTATAATGTCAGGAAGAGATATTAAATAGCAATTTGGATGTTGAATAATCTCCTATAGCAGAATTTTGTTATGAGACATCTTGGTCAGTGGTGGAGAGAGAGCAGTTTCAAGGTGGTGATTACATTTTGTCTCATCTTGCCATAATCCTCTTATCCATCCTTTTTTTCCTATAAATTGGCACACGCTGATACGCAGCTTAAGGAGTTTCTTACATAGAAGATAACTACAGCTCAGGAGTCTGATTGTAATAACTTCATTCAACATTACGTGGTATAAAAACCCACGAGAACACAGGACGAAAATATAATTGCACAGATTGACAGGGAAGGCTTATTATTTTGCACTAACTCTTCTAATAGAGCATTCTTTGCTATGTTCCACATCCATATTTCATAATGTGGTAAAATCAGACATAAGGAAACTGGTGAGCTCTTCAGAAAACATTCTTTTTCCTTGTAAAATGCTCACTACCATGGAAGCAGTCCAGCAAAACACAGAAAACACTGGACTGATACCCTACTTTGTGGTGTCAGCTTAAAGTCTTTGTAGTTC